GGTAAACTGTGGTCAATGACATGAGACAAAGTATATGTGAACTGTTGTATGGAAAGTGAATTTGCTCTGTAACTCTTCACCAAGAGAACTTCTATAGTCAGCCAAGTTTTTGTTTTTCCTCCCTGGTGACTGCAGTGATCTTTTCAAGTGAGTATTTTCTTTCTTTTTTTTTTTTTTTAATCCCTTACTAATTAACTAGCACACTAAAACAGAGCAAAAATCATGGTTATTCATGCATTTTCTAAAATCTCTGCAGAGATTTTTAGATTCGCAGTATGATAACCACTTAACATTTCTATGCCTTGCACAAAAATACACACTATCTTAGGAATAATGACAGTGTGGTTTCCTATGTGACCAGTTTCAGCTGCCTTCTCACCAAGCCCTAAAGGATAAAACATTTGAGGGAGCTCTACAGTGAGTGTGATTTACCATCTCTGGCTCTCTGGACTGGAAGCACACTGTCTGCAAACTACCAGCTGTGAAATTGCACAATAATCCATAATTAAACAAGCCAGAAGAGTAAACAGAAGTAGTTAGGTGTGATTTGGTACAGGAGAACCACACAAGGTATCTTTTAAAGTTTTATTAGCCTATAGCAAGAGAATACAGAGTATAACTAGGTTCACATGCTTAAGTGGCTCCACAACCATGACTGCAGAGTTATGAGAATTGTCTGACTATCAAAGTATACAGTTGTAAGTATGGACAATGACTTTGTACAGAACCACCACATGCTGCTAATGTACTAGTTATCACTTCCATGTACAAATAGCAATGAACATATTACTGATGATCTTTCCATATATTCTGTTTCAGGTATCTGTTCATTATTCTTAGGTAAACATAACTTGTTTACCCTTCTAGAAAGCATTAGATTTTTTTTGTTAGATGAGCACAACATAATAGTAAGTACAAAAATTAAAAGCATAATGTATGATCAATTATCTACCCACACATGACTTCACTCAGATTATTGTTATTTATTTGGAACAAACACACAGACTTCTGATGTTTTTCAAGCTTTTTTTTCTTTTTTCCTTTTCCCCCATATCCAGATCATTACTTGTTTTATTCAGCTCATGCAGAGGTAGATGCTGGTATGAGCTTTGGTTTAGCCTGCTGGGGTGGTGTCACTTCTGGTATCTTTTCACCATGTTTGTACACACTGACAGTGACATCGATTTTTTCACCTCCATATTTATTCTTGACATTGAGGCTGTACTTCCCTGAATCCTCAGAAGTGACACCTTTGATGGTCATGCTGACATATTTGGCCTGCTCCACTTTGACTGTAAAGTGTTCACTGAGCTCAATGTCCCTGTCGTTCTTGAACCAAACCACTTCAGGGTCAGGATTTCCAAACACTGTGCAGGTCAGGTTCAAAGTCTTCAAAAGAGAAGTGAGCAGAGAAAGAAAAATTAGGAAAAAAAAAATTATATTACCTCTCTGTATTTTATTAGCACTCAGTCACTTTGTTATATTTATCAGTTCTTCACATCATTTATTTCATCAACAAGCCCTTTTTATGTACTCAGCACTATGCTAGACATGAGATATGCAAAGGAGAACAAGACACAAAGAAGTTCACATTTCATAGAAGAGCTAATGAGAAAAATCAGTGATAATTTTTTCTACTTATGCTCAGTTTTAATCCATGGTCTAAACTCCTTAAAGAATTTAAACATAATTAAGCTCTACATTTTACAATATACATATTTAGCCTGTTTCTAAATGTCCTTTATCTTTAGACTTATGGATTCATTTTTCTAGTCTCTATGGCAAAGCCAGAGAATATACTGTCTTATAACTAGTAAATTCAATGCAGCAAATGCATTCTTGACACTTAGTTAAAACATGCTTCCAGACTATGATAAAGTAAAACTATTTCTAATTTCTCAATTACATCTTTATTATGAGATCCATGATTATTCAGTCTCAGGAGCTATCTAGATTTTCTTTAACTGCTTAAGAAAAGGTCTATAAATTTTTGTATTTTGGCCTCATAAAACTCTCTCAAGTACCTATGTCCTAGTGACATTGAGTTAGAATCACTGAAGCAACCAGAGAAGTACCAATTAGATATCAATAATTTCACTGGCAAGCCAACAAATTAAAACTACAATAAGTAGCTTCCTTTACTTATTACAAAATAACCTTGAAAATTGGAACAAGTTTTTCTCTCTCTCTTTTTTTTAATCATCTTCTAAAAGTTATAATATTTTACACTTGAAGCAGTGTGGCTTACATTTTCCTACAGAGAGGAGGTCTGTCATGTCTGTTAAGCTAGTCCTTTGAATGGCCACAGAGCAGATGTCATCGGAACCTGGTGTGGCCCTCAGGGCCTGAACAACAGTTACCACAATTCCTGCTTTGAGGTACCTGAGTTACACAAAGCTTTCCTGTGGTCTTAAAGGCATTTTCACGAATTCAGAATATTAAATATTAGCTCCTTCCCTAACACAAAAATAATGAGAGGGAACAAAGGATAAGGCAGATGCACAGAGAAGAGAGTGAGTGAGGAGACTGGGTTGCCTACAAGCTGAGGGGCATACAGAACACCCTCCAGGCTTCCCTTGGCTCAGCCATAAAATGAGGGGATTGTAGTACATTATGCTTAAATCCTTACTCAGTCTTTTCATCCTTCTATGAGTCGAGGCTGACTCGACAGCACATAACAACAACAACAACAACAATGTATCCTTACCTTGCCTTCCATTATAGTCACCACATCAGGTAAGCCACCAATCACCTTTCCACGATCTGTAAAATTAAAGTGATTAATTTGAAAAAACATTCATTGGACTAGTCCCATGGGGCTGGCCCTGTGCTAAGCACTATGTCAATAAAAACATGAATACAAATAGGAGTTTGTACTCTCCTAGGAAAGGTCACAAAAGAAAATATATATAACTAAAACCAAATCCACTTCCATCAAGTTGATTACAATTCACAGCAGCCCTATAGGACAAAGTAGAACTGCCTCATAGAGTTTCCAAGGTTGTAAATCTTTACAGAAGTAGACTGTTTCATCTTTCTCCCATGGAGCAGCTGGTAAGTTCAAACATTGACCTTTTGATTAGCAGCCAAATGCTTTAACCACTGCACCACCACATGTTCTTGCAAATATATATATAGTTGAAGTATAAACTGGTGCCAAGGGAACACAAATAAGGAAGTAATTCTGTATCTGGGGAGATCATGAAAACTAAAGGAAATATGGCATGTGAACTGGGCTTTGAGGAAAAGCACCAAAGTTTAAAAGCAGGGAAAAGCCATGCCATGTAGATCTATGATACATTCAGGAAATGAAAAGAATCCCAAGTAAGTACAGGATTTCTGCAAGGGTAAGTGGAGAATGGGAGCGAGAAAGGAGGCCAGAGGAACTAGCAATGAGCTAAAGCTGAAAAGGTGGACTAAGGCCACTTAACATTAGCATATGTTGTTGAGGAATTGTAAGTACAGGTGTTTGAAGTCATAAGGGTTTTCAAATTGGGGCTAAAAGGCATGCTGTTTCTTATTTAATATATAAAACTGATACTCTAAAATGTGGACCCTTTTGCTCCACACAAAATAATACATTGTCCTTGTGATAATATAATATTTACTTACTCTTCTCTGCAAAAGCAGCTGCCCTAGAAATTAAGAGGCAGAAAGGAAAGAGTTGAAAGATAATATTGAGAAAATGCTAACAACAAAAAGAATACACATTTTTAGAGATGAAAGCAAAAAAAAATTGATTTTCTAGAGATGAAAGCAAAAAAAAAATTACAGTGAATATGTATGGTTTCTCTTAGAAGAAATTTGTTTGGGTTACAAGATCTGAATATATATATATTTGTTGTTGTTATGTGCCATCGAGTCGGACCCAACTCATAGCAACCCCTCCTTGGGTTTCTGAGGCAGAGGCAGTATCATTACGGAAGTAGATTGCCCCATCTTCCTTCCGAGGAGTGGCTGGTGGGTTTGAAC